GATATGCCAGGTTGGCTCCTGCATCATCTTTCCAGATATTTTTCCACTCTTCTTCGGTCTTGGGGTATGTTTTGCTTCTGAAAAAATGTCAGCAAAGCACAGCACAGGTGCATAGTGAGAAATGGGTTGCAGAGAAGGCGACGCAGCTGCTTACCTGTACGTTTGAGTTCAATGGCGTAGCATTTTGCTACAAAAGGAATAGATATGATATTTGTCTGTAGTGATAGTGAATGCGGCATTGACTCACTTGAAGACTTTCAGTCCCGCTTCAAGAGCTTCCTGCAGTAATTGACGGTAGTCGAAACTGGACTCCGAGTTGGGGTCGTGCTCGAAAGAGTAGTGGAAGCGAGCCTTCTATACGCCCAAAAGAAACGTAAAATAGCAGGGCAGCTTCTTGTCTCAACCAGCTAAATGGCTGCGCAGTTTGTGTCGGGCTCCACAGTGGGGTTTAGAGCTGCTGTTGCCGCAGCACGAGTAACGGGAGCAACTGTGCAGATTCACTGGTCAGGTAGTTGTTTTGCTCACCAGTTTGGGGGTTATCAATGCAGTGCAGTTCTCCGCAGTAGGCGGTACTTCGGGTGTTACTTCTGCCGCCAAGTCAGTGACTAGGCTTTCGTCCTTCGTGACTTCACTGATGTGAACCGGGAGCTTTCCATTACGGGCCAAGTTGGCGGCTAAGTAGGCGTCTGCGGCGGAGAAACAGGAACAAAGCGACAAAAGCGAATACAGCAATGAGGCGACGATGGGTCCGCCGCGGCAGAGTACTTGGTAGCTTGACGTCAAACACGGAGAAAAGCATGACGGGTGAAATGAATCGGAAAACATGCTCACCTTCATCTACCTCCACTACTTTAAATTTATACGTCGTAGACTCCCCCCCTCCCCTGCCACTGCCCTGCTGTGCCTCTGATTGGAGCACACCGAGTGCGACGAGGCACACTGCTGTTGCCGTCTTGTAGAAAGAAGCCATGGTTGTGAAAGAAGAGAGAGAATTTCAATATCTGTTTTCTTTCAAAAAGGAACAGAAATAAATATGCACAAATTAAGGAGTTCAGGAAAGGCGGCAGAGAGGTCGGAATTCCTCGGCTGGTCCTCAAGTCTCGTGCACTGCGGATGGAGCAGTACGGAACAAAAGTGCAGAAAATGCGAGCAAAACTTGAAACTAAATATAATTAATATTAAAATAAGGTGATACAAGAAAGGTTTCTGTGTAGAGTTGTTGTGCGCCTTGTTTTTATCGCCGTTTATGAGGGCTCGTGTCGTCCCCGACCGAAACCGCGTGCTGTGCACAGGCACTGCAATGGAGCTGAAGTGGAAACAGCAGAGACCTTGTTAGATCAAAGATTAAAAATACAATACTATTAGAGATAAGTGGAAGTACTGTAGGTAGAAAATTAAGATAACAAAGTCAAGAATGCTCGGCGGTCCCCAGGTTAGGGCTGGCTGTGAGTGATGCAGCGGCTGGGGGACTCTGACTGACTGCAGAGTCACGAGGGAGAACTGTTATTCCTGGATTTCCTTTTCAATATTACTCGACTGGGATACATTCTAAAGGCAATTATTTGAGTGTTCGAGCCCGTGTAATATACATAGGCTGTTTGTAGAACATAGAGTCTGAACCCAGTAGGGTTGCCATAGGGTACGATACATACGTAGTAACAGCCCGTTGTTCATTACATTTCGGGGCTGTTCCTGGAATTTTAACCCTAGTTCTCTTGCATTTGATTTTGTCTCCGCTCATAAAGACGTTATTGAGCGGATTTGCTGTGATCACTGCACGCTGAGACATAGGTGCTCCCATATATGTTTCGTAGATACGAAACATATTATCGGTATCATATATGGGCCTCTGGAATGGATTTAGATAACTGGGAGGAGGTCTGAGAAGAAATGCTTACAATTGTATGTGCTCTACTGAAAGAGGTGAGGATCAGACTAGTAAGCATACGGTGGAAGGACACCCCGGTACGGTATGTTGCCGAATTTTCGTTGGAATTGAAGTGAATACTCTTAACGAGTCTTCTGGTGTTAGACGTTCATCCTATTTACCTGATTACGTTATATTCGCCCTGATAGCCAACGGTAAAAGAACCTCTGAGTCCTGGCAAAAGGCTGGTAAAGCATTGAAGAAAGTCATACGAACTAGAGAGTGAACACTACACGACGCAAGATAATGCAGAATAATTGTACAACAAATGTTACAGCGAAGGGGAACACACAGCGATGAGAAGCAAGAAGACGGAAAAAGGCCGACTCCCAAAGCACGACGTGACCCGCGAGGTAGCGGTTATTTCGAATGTAAGAGCACGAAACATACTGCGCGACAGTGTCGGTTGCGTAACGAGACCTAGCAGAGAACTGCAGAAATATGTAAGAAGTGTGGAGGCATGGCTCACTACGCTACAGAACGTCCAACATATGCCCGAAGAAACATAGAGACAAAGGGAAAGCCTAGTAGACAGCCAGCACGTTCTGGCAG